CGGAAGTAGGCATCGTCCTGAGTAGACCCCCGACGCGCGCAGCTTCTCATGCGAGGCCATGGCCTCACCCGCCTCGCTCTGAAGGGGCCCGGGCGCATGCCCGCACAGGCGTACCGTTCCGTTCCGTTCCCCCCCGAGCTGACCCCTTGGCGTTAAGTCGGGCGTGTCCCCCTGTAGGGGGATTTTGGGCGAAAAATAAAGCAGATTCAAAAAATACCCCCCAGGTATGCAAAAATAGTCGAAAAATCGCCCCGGGACTGTTATTTGACTATTGTGAAGGCCTTACGGCCGGTGCCGCCGACCCTGAAGGTTCTGGCCGCCGATGGCGACAGGCTGTGTGATCACAGGAAGGAGCCAGAGGACAACGTGACAGGGCAGGCGGAGAAAGTGTGTGTGAGGAGAAGGAGGAGGAGGAGGCCCCGGACTGTAAAATGATTATCTTTGAATATCCCCCCTGTGGAGGGACAGGCCCCACTTAACCCTGGCGGTCTTCGGGTCAGGACCCCGGCTTCCGGCGGCCGTGCGGGACGATCGGGGCACCCCCGGGAGCGCTGTCGGCGAGGCGCCGTTGCTGGAACGTAGTGGGAAGCCAGGGGCGCCCTCGAGGGCGCGAAGCTATTCGCGCTTCGCGCCTCGCGGTTCGGCTCCGATTCCCCCTCTTCCTCCTCTTCTCCCCTGGGAGGCGGCGCGAGAGCGCGAAGTTTTGCGCGCTTCGCGCAGCGCGAAGCGCGAAGTTGGGAGCCCTTACAGAAAATCCCGGGTCCCCAACCCAGAGGCTCGAGCCCCAGGCGTTCCCCCTCACAGGTCCGCGTCGCAGGGCTGTCGATCCTGTGCGCCATCACCACCTGCTCCGCGCAGCACGGGGGCATGCTGAAGCTGCTGCCCAGCTTCGAGCTGCTCGCCAGCGACGAGTGGTGGGAGGTGCAGGCACAGCTGCTGCTGCTCTGCGCCAGCCTGCTCAACAGGAAACCAGAGGAGGGGGAACATGCACCCAGACATGCAGCGTCTTGAACAAAAAGCAGGGCGGAGTTTTTGCGCCCTTGGTGGCCTCTGGGGGCCCTGGGGCCCTTACCGGGCCCCAGGACCGTCAAGAGCCACTCGGGATGAAGAAAAGCTGGTCCTGAGCGGGACTTCCTGGGACCGCGCGTTGACAAAACATTCAAGGCGTCGCGTGTCTGGATATCGACACCGCTGCTCGTCCTGGAGGGCTCTCGTCGCCGCGGCCGGCTTCTCCTCGACATTATGCTCACCGCCCCCCCGCCCCCCGTAGAGGTCAGGGGTGCAGTGATGTCCTTGTCTTGGCATCGCTCGGACGTGTGCATGTTCCCCTCGGCGTGGACCCTCGAGGAGCACCCCCGATCACGTGGCGTAAAAGCCACGCACGGAGCCGAACAAAACACAGGGAATGGACGTCCGAGCGATGGCCGGTTGTCGTCTCCCCAGGATAGCCGTCAGCAGCCGCCACGGCGGCCCCGACGCGGGCGAGGGCGCGGAGGAGCCGGCCTCGGCCGAGGAGGTCGACTGCCTCATGGCGGTGGTCAGCCGCCTGTTCCTCGCGAGCGGGTCCAAGAACGTGCTGCAGGTGGGCCTGACCGCGCTGGTGCACGTGCTGCAGGAGCGGAGCCGGCGGGGGGCCGAGGTTCCGAGGCGGGCACGTCATGCAAGACCACGGCCTGGAGGATCGATTTTTGGGGGACCTCGGCTGGCGGTGGATATGGATTATATATATACATATATATATATGCATCGGAGATTGGGGGGTGAGATCGCAGTGGAACGGAGGAGACCCCCAACCGGGAAATAGTTTCGTTTCCTTCGTGTCGTGCGTGCGGGCGAGGCAAAGCTGCGTGGGCGCACGAGAGGAATGAACCCGCCGTTGCTAGGGCGAAGTCAAGACAAATAATTCTCCCCCGTCCGTCCGTCCAGCGGTGGCCCTAGCGGTGTCCCGCGGTGTCCCGTGGTGTCCCGTGGTGTCCCGTGGTGTCCGCCGCTGCTAGGGCGAAGTCAAGACAAATGGTTCTCCCCCGCCCACCCGTCTGTCCGTCCGTCCAGCGGTGTCCCGCGGTGTCCCGCGGTGTCCCGTGGTGTCCGGTGGTGTCCAGATGTGTTCCGTGGTGTCCCGTCGAGTGAGATCGATAGTGAGATCGATATTGAGATCGATACCGAGATCGATGTGGTGCCCTGAGGTGTCCCGTGGTGTCCCGTGGTGTCCCCAAAAGTGAGATCGATGGTGAGATCGACAGGTGTCCCGTGGTGTCCCGCGGTTTCCCGTGGTGTCCCGTTGAGTGAGATCGATAGTGAGATCGATAGTGAGATCGATACTGAGATCGATGTGGTGCCCTGAGGTGTCCCGTGGTGTCCCGTGGTGTCCCAAAAAGTGAGATCGATCGTGAGATCGATACTGAGATCGATACTGAGATCGATGTGGTGCCCTGAGGTGTCCAGTGGTGTCCCAAACAATGAGATCGATCGTGAGATCGATACTGAGATCGATGTGGTGTCCCGTGGTGTCTGGTGGTGACCCGTGGTGTCCCGTTGAGTGAGATCGGTAGTGAGATCGATAGTGTGATCGATGTGGTGCCCCGAGGTGTCCTGTGGTGTCCCGTGGTGTCCCAAAAAGTGAGATCGATACTGAGATCGATACTGAGATCGATGTGGTGTCCCGTGGTGTCTGGTGGTGACCCGTGGTGTCCCGTTGAGTGAGATCGATAGTGAGATCGATACTGAGATCGATGTGGTGCCCTGAGGTGTCCCGTGGTGGCCCGTGGTGTCCCGTTGAGTGAGATCGATAGTGGTTCCGTTAAGTGGGATCGATAGTGGGATCGATAGTGAGATCGATAGTGAGATCGATAGTGAGACCGATCGTGAGATCGAGAGGTGTCCCGCGGTGTCCCGTGGTGTCCCGTGTTGACCCGTGGTGTCCCGTGGCGTCCCGTTGAGTTGATTGAGATCGATAGTGAGGTCGATTGAGTCAGATGTTGGTTCCCCCCATCTTCCCCCCCACAACCTCCTTATCACCCGAAGGGTGGTCGTATAGGTATGTATATATATGTGTATATATATATGTGTATATATATATATGTGTACAGATATATGTGTAATCTATATATATGTATGTATGTATATTCGGGCCCCCGGGGGCTATAATAGATCCATGTCCGCCGCCCGCTGTGGCACCAGGACGTCGGTTCCCAGGAGGTCGACATGGATGAATCCCCGCCTCGCAGAGGTGGCCCACGACTGGTTCGGGCCAGCCGCAGCTCTGCCCTTGGCCCGAGCGGGTCGCCCCAAGGGCCCCCCTTTTCTGGCGGGCGGTCTGCTCCTGGCGGCGCCTCCTGGAGGGCGCCGCGTCGCCACGGCGCGAAGCATTGGCGCGGTTCTGGGTCCTCGGGACGAGGCCGGGGACCGATGTGGAGCGGAGTGGGCCCCGTTTCTGGGCGTGTCAGGGCGTCGCATGTCTGGGAATTCCTCGCCCAGCATCCCTCGAAACAGACCGCCGACCAAGCGACTGGAAGCTCCTTGGTGAACAAACGTGCCATCCGATCCTCTCGGCCGATGTTCTCGGGGCTTCCCTGCGAGGTCCTGGGGACCGATGTTGAGCGGAGTGGGCCCCATCCCGTGTTCCTGATCGATTCTTGTCCGGGCCCCGGCCGGCGCAGACCCCCCCGGCCGCCTCCAACTTTGGCCCAGGCGCTGCCTGCATCCGGAGCAGGCACAAAGGATCGTCGATCCCAGGCCAAAAGCATATACAGAGCCGTTTTTATACATGCTCCGCGTGCGGATCATGTGTTAAAGATGCAGGAACTTAGTATCAAAATGATCGATGAGTTCATGCCTAAATTTATTCCTAACTAAATCATGGATTAAACATCCGATACGTTTAAGCATCCCATGTATTAAAAACTGCCCTGTAGGAGCATGTGGGAAGTGGGGGGGGGAAGGCGAACACCCAGAGCACGCTTTCATATCTGGGGAGTCCTGGGATCTGTGTCTATGTGTTCGCGTGTGGTGCCCACGCAGTTGCCCAGGGTTCGGTCCCCTGCCTTAATTTACGGAGTTGACCCTGGTCGTCGTCTATCCCGACTTCCTGGTGCTTCCGACGCCCTGCATGCTTGCACGCTGGCAGTTCGACTCAGTTTCAGTCTCCCCTGCCACCCGCCCGCCGCTGGGCCGCCGCGTGAGGCCTCGGCGTGCTGCGTTAGTCGTAGCCTGTTCGCGCTGCCTTTGCTTAATTTGTCTCTGCGTAGCCCGCTCGGACCTGACTCGCCGCCGGCGCGCTCGCCCGCGGCCGCCGACTACACAGTCTCTGTGCGTTCGCGCGTGCCCCTGGGGTGTCTATGGGGAGTCCTGGGGCCCCTGGGCCCCTGGGGTGTCTATGGGGAGTCGTGGGGACCCCTGGGGAGCCCTGGGGAGCCCTGGGGAGTCCTGGGACCCCTGTGCCCCTCGGGAGCCCTGGGGAGTCCTGGGACCCTTGGGGAGTCCTGGGGACCCCTGGGGAGTCCTGGGGACCCCTGGGGAGTCCTGGGGGCCCCTGGGACCCTTGGACCCCTGGGGACCCCCCTTTAAGGGGGGGGGGGGTTCCTGCAGACCCCTGGGTTCTCTCTCTGTGTGTCCGCGCTTGCCCCCCCGTGGCCCCGTCCGCGCCGGAGGCGCTGCAGCGCTCGCCCTCGGCCGCCGCCTGCCGCGCTCGGCCCTCCCGCGGCGCCGGGGCGCTCCGGGCCTCCCGCAGGGGCCGCGAGCCCTCGGCCGAGACCATCCGGCGGGGAGGAGGAGAGAAGGAGGAGGAGTAGGGGAGGAGGAGGAGAGAAGGAAGAGGAGGAGGAGGAGGAGGAGGAGAAGGGGCGGGGTCCGAGCCTCCCGAGGCTGGGAAAGTGGGGGAAGCGGGGGAGTGGGAGAAGTGGGGGAGTGGGAAGACGAACGCCCAGAGCACGCTTTCAGACCTGGGGAGTCCTGGGATCTGTGTCTGTGTGTTCGCGTGTGCCCCCGGGCCCCCTCACGCCGTGGCGCTGCGCGCTCGGCCCTCGGGCCGCCGCCTGCAGCGCTCGGCCCTCCCGCGGCGGGCCGGGGCGCTCCGGGCCTCCGGCGGGGCCGCGAGCCCTCGGCGAGGCGAGGCGAGCAGGCCAGCCACAACTGGGGCGAGCGGTGGTCCTGACCCCCCTGGAGGGCCCATCGACTTCGACACCCCTCTCGAGAGACCGTCGACGCGATGGGTTCCCCCAGGGGGGTAAGGACCACAGCTCCCCCAGTTGTGGCTGGTCGGGCGAGGCGTCAAGCAGTGGCGAAGCGTCCCGGCTCGCCTATAGCCCCACCAAACAATGTTCTGAGATCCTTCTGTGGTTCCCACGACATGCTCTTAGAACATGTATGGCTGGGACTGTCTTGTTTTAACACATCGGGTTTATGTTCTAAGAACTTTGTCCTTGTTCTTATAACATCTTTGGGTTCTAAGAACATTCCGTGGCATGACTATAGGAATGCCGGGACGGTCGGTCCCCGCTCAAGCGGCGGGATCCGAGCCTCCCGAGGCTGGAAGAAACCGCCGCGAACCGACCCAGATTCTTCGGAGCAGGCAGCCAGAAACGCTCTCGTCCGAATTTCCGCGAGCGTTTCGTTCGCGGAAATTCAGGATTCGATTTCTCGTTTCCGATTTCTCGTCGCAGACAGGATCGTGTCGTTCAGAAGTCCGGGCGGGAGGTTTTGCGCCGCTTTCGGCCCCTGGGTGCCCTCGCCGGGACCTGGGGCAGTCAAAACACGACTCGGGAGGCCAGACCGGTAGCGGGGAAGGGGTCGGGACTTCCGGGGGCACCGTCCTGAACAAAGCAGGACGTCGCATGTCTGGGAATTCCTCGTCCAGCATCCCTCGAAACAGACAGCGTTCCAACCGACTGGAAGCTCCTTGATGAGCAAACGTGCCATCCGATCCTCTCGACCGATGTTCTCGGGGCTTCCCTGCGAGGCCCTGCGACCCATTCTTGCTCGAGCTGGGTCGTTCCGCCCACTTTCGGGCCCCGGGACCCTCGCAGATCGATCCGGCTCGACAGGTGGCGCAGAAAGATCGGGTGTTGCCAGAAGTGCCCCTGGCCAAAGGTGCCCCCAGGATTTCCAAGCACTCCTCAAGAGGCCAAGAGGACCCCAGGGGCTCCAAGATTGAGCGACAAGCTGGGGGCACCTTGAGCCAGGGGCACCTTCTAGCAACCCCCGAAAAGATGGGGTCTAGGGCTCCTCTCGCGATTTCTCTCAACGTTTCCATTTTTTTTGCAACGTCGGATCTCAGGGTTGTCCAGCTCAGACCCTTCAGCCGCCTCCAGCTGCAGGACTACCCCACGCTGCTGCCAGTGTACGTGTCCGTGCTGCTGGAGCAGCCCGCCAACCTCCGGCAGAGGCTCCTGCGGCTCCCGGAGGACTCGAGTAGTGCGGGGGCCAAAAATAGATTCACCACCACCATCTCCCTCACCCCCTCCCTCTCCCAGGAAAGGAAGAGGAAGGGCAGAGGAGGGTGGAGGAGGGAGGGGGAATGGAGGTGGTGGTGGTGGTGCAGAATCTTGGGGCCCGCAAGCCAGGGATCGACTACAGAATTGGTTCACCCCGAAATTGATTCTCCGGTCGAGTCCACGAGAAAATCGCGGCTCTGGCCAGAAAACAAATTCTGGGGCATCTCGATCCCGTGGCCGATCCCCTGCTCGAAGGATGCGGAGGGCGGCGAGCTCGGCATGACCAGGCTGGCCTACGTCGCGGGCAGCTCCAGCAGGACTCGTAGGCCAACGCAACACAAAACAGGCAGCGAGACCACCCGAGGGGGCGTGAAGAGAGCCGCGCTTCGCGAGCCGCGGCGTGGGTTGGACAGACGCCCTTCTCCATGGCGGCGGCCCTCCTCCTCCTCCTCCTCCTCCTCCTCCTCCTCCTCCTCCTCCTCCTCCTCCTCCTCCTCCTCCTCCCTCCTCCTCCCTCCTCCTCCTCCTCCTCCTCCTCCTCCTCCTCCTCCTCGCCTCCTCCTCCTCCTCCTCCTCCTCCTCCTCCTCCTCCTCCTCCTCCTCCTCCTCCTCCTCCTCCTCCTCTTCCTCCTCCTCCCTCCTCCTCATTCTTCCTCCTCCTCCTCCTCCTCCTCTCTCCTCCTCCCTCCTCCTCCTCCTCTTCCTCCTCACTCCTCCTCCTCCTCCTCCTCCTCCTCCTCCTCCTCCTCCTCCTCCTCCTCCTCCTCCTCCTCCTCCTCTTCCTCCTCACCGCGCATCGCAGAGCGCGATGCGCGAAGTTGGTCCTCGTGGCCCATAAGGGGGTGCAGCTAGCTGAAAGGGGGCGGTGCAATAGATTTTGGGCAGTTTTATCGCAAACGTGTTGCGCCAGAGACTTGTGTTGCATTGGACTGCAATTCGTGCAATGCACGCGAAACCCAGCAATACATGTGCGCCCCTGAGTGTATTGCTCAAACCAAAGCTATTGCACCTCCACAAATCTATTGCAACAAATCTATTGCCCCACCCCCTTTTCGCTGGACCCCCTTTTGGGTAAACCAGGGTTATGTGACCTAGAGACACCCCAGAGTCGTGACAAAGACACCGACAGGATTTTGTTCGCAGTGCGGCCCCTGAGAATCCTCGTCGGGCCCTGGGACCATAAAACAGATATTCGGGACAAAACACGGTCCTGGGGAAGGGGTCCAGCCCTTTGGGGGTCCACGTCATGAAAAAATATGACGGCGGGGATTTGGGTTCGAAGAACAAAACATCGCATAAGCATGGACTTTCGAGGGTCCGCGCGAATTTCTAGAGACGGCGCTGGGGTCTTCCTGGCGGCGCCGCCCCTGGCGCGCTCCGCGCGCCAGGGGGGGGGGGGGCAGCGCCGATCCAGGAAATTTGCGCGGGACCTCGAGAAAGGTTCTCACCATGCCGCTCTCTCTCTCTCTCTCTCTCCCCTTCTCTCTCTCTCTCTCTCTCTCTCTCGCCCTGAGGATGTACGACGAGACGTGCATCAGCGCGGTCTGGCCGCACCTGGACGTGGCCAGGACGCTCGCCAGGCAGCTGGAGGCCTCGCAGGAGCCGCGCTTCGAGCTCGAGCACGCGCAGGTGCTGCTGGCCAGCCTGCCCCCCCCCCCCCCCCGAGGAGGAGGAGGAGAGGAAAGGAGGAGGAGGAGGATGAGGACGAGGAGGAGGGTGGAGGAGGATGAACGAGGAGAGGAGAGGTGGAGAGGAGGAGGGAGGAGAGGTGAAGGAGGAGGACTGCGCGCAGGTGCTGCTGGCCAGCCTGCCCCCCGAGTTCGATGAGCGCCGGCCCGGGAGAGTGGCTCTCGAGGTCTTCGAGAAGGCGGCCAGGGGACGGCAATAGCCGAGACGGAAGCGCTTCGCTCCCCCTACCTCCCCCTCCTCCTCTCCCTCCTCCTCCTCCCTCCTCCTCCCCCTCTCCTCCTCCTCCTCCTCCTCCTCCTCCTCCTCCTCCTCCTCCTCCCTCCTCCTCCTCCTCCTCCTCCTCCTTCCTCCTCCTCCTCCTCCTCCTCCTCCTCCTCTTCCTCCTCCTCCTCCTCCTCCTCCTCCTCCTCCTCCTCCTCCTCCTCCTCCTTCCTCCTCCCTCCTCCTCCTCCTCCTCCTCCTCCTCCTCCTCCTCCTCCTCCTCCTCCTCCTCCTCTCCTCCTCCTCTCCTCCGCCTCCTCCTCCTCCTCCTCCTCCGTCCTCCTCCTCCTCCTCTCCTCCTCCTCCCTCCTCCTCCTCCTCCTCCTCGGGGGGGGGGAGCCCTCGCCGCCACGGCCGGGCGCGGCTCGAGCAACAGGGCGCGGCTGGACCCGGGCAGGGGCCTGCCGGCGGCGACCCCGGGGGAGAAGCGAGAAGCGGCGGGCCCTCGCGGTAGAGGCTCGGCAGTCCCCGGGCCTCCCGAGGAGCTCCCTGCTGCCCCCCCCCCCCCGGAGGCGAGGCGCACGAGAGGCCCCCTTCAGAGGGCGCGAGGGGCTTCTGGGAAGCCCCGCCGCCTTCTGAGAAGGCCTCCTCCTCCTCCTCACGGGGCCCCCCTCGCGCGCCGCCGGGTCCGGGGACCGGCGGCGAGATGCCTCCGAGGTGAAGCAGTACGTCTTTGCCGCCCTCGCCGACCCGGACCTCCACCGCCTCGGCGCCCAGATCATCGAGCGCTTCTGGCTGTCCTCGGTGGAGCCGCTGTCCTCCGCGAGCACCGGGGGAGAAGAAGAAGAAGGAAAGGAATAATAATAATTCTATCAATAATGATAATATTAGTAATAATAATAATGATAATGAGAATAAAAATAAGAAGAAGGAGCGGCACAAGCACAACGTTTCGGAGCTCCGCGCGGATCTCTCGGATCAGCACTGGGCCACCCTAACCGCATCAAGCAATTTAGAACCCCCCCCCTCTCCGGCGAAAGTATAACACCACCCGGCACCCCAGAAGCGTTACCTTGGCACCTCGCATCTTTATGTGAACGCAGACGAGTCTGCTCGCCGAAACAAGCAAACCGCCTGAGACATTCTCGCAATATGGTCTCTTTGTGATTCTGAAACAAGCGCCTCGCCTGAGACATCCTCAGAAACTGTTCTGGACGCAGACGAGTCTGCGTCAGGTGGTCGGTCTGGGCGAGAACTGGAGTGGCCGCGCGTCTTCCCAGCGCTCGGCCTTCCGAGCAGGGGTCCTCTTCCTCTTCCTCTTCGTCCTTCTCAGGGGTCCTCCTCCTATTCCTCCTCATCAGGGGTCCTCCTCCTCCTCTTCCTCCTCCTCCCCCCCGTAGCCATGTTGGCGCTTAATCGCCATTACGGATCAAGCCGAGGGCCAAGGCCTCAGTCAAGCGCCCTTGGCCCAGCTAAACAGAAAAAAAACATCATCCTGCTCCTCCTCCTCTTCAAGACTCCCTTACGAACGACAATAATACCAGCAATAAGAATTAGATCTAGAACAACAAGGCCAAAAACAGCAACACCACCAACAACAACATCAACATCAAAAACACCAACAACACCGCCAACACCAGCAATAACAACATTAAGTCTCACGCAAGGGAGAGCCCAGCTTTGAAAAGGAACCGTCCGTGCGTACGATGGGGGGCGAATAATTTTGGCGGTGCGGGTGCTAAGATAACGCGCCGTGCGTGGCGGGGGCGATATCCTCGGATGCACACTCCCCCACACGACGGCCGGGAAAGAACAATTGTTCAATAGGGGCGGTATTAAGAATCGTATAGGACAAGGATGATGAAGAAAATGGGAAAATGGAGAGAGGGAGGAAAAAAGCAGCGGAGCCCGTCTGTTTTCGTATTTTTACTTTTGTCATCATCCTCATTATTATTCGCATTATTCTTCTTATTATCAGTCGTTATCCCATTTAAAGTATTATTACTATTGGTATGATTGTACGTCTTGTCTTTTCGGGCAAGCTGCCGTAATTATGTTGTGCGGGTGCGATGCTAAGATAACGCGCAGTGCGTGGCGGGGTCGATATCCTCGGATGCACTACCCCACACCACTGCCAGAAAAAAAAAACATTGTTTTCAACAGGGGTGGTAATAAACATCGTATATGACAAGGATGATGAAGATAATGAGAAGAATATGTTATTATGATTCGCATGTTGTTTTTTTTATTATTCTTCTTCGTACTATTATTATTCTAAGTATGCTTATCAGTATTATTACTATTCGTATTAGTGTGATTCGTATTCGGATTATGGGTGTGATTATTATGTTGTAGTGCTACTCCTTTTCTTACTCTTAGTAGTATTATGATGTTTACTCGTACTCATTCCCTTAATAGTATTAGTAATATTATTTGCATTCGTATTCTTATGGTTATTATCATTATGCTTGTTCGTATTACCTGTAGCATTATCATTAGTATTATCACCATTCGTATGATTATGCGGGTTATGCTTCTTAGTGTTACTGGTATTGCTAATATAATGTTTCTTAACCTTACTCTGAACCATAATATTGTTCTTAGTAGTATCATTGGTACTCTTACTCGTATCATTGCTATTGTTATTATTCTTACTCTTATTACTCGTATGCCACTCTTATTCTTATTCCAAATCCAATTGGGATACCACCCGAGCCGGGGCGCGGGAATTATGTGTTTTCGTTCCAAAAGCGCGGTGCTAATCACATCGTTCGGCGAAAACCGCCCCCCAGAATTGTTGAATTACGGTGCTGTGCTAATGATAACCCCGGGAGGGTCCTTAATGGCTTGATGGGGTTATCCTTGACGCGCCGAGCGCGCCATATGGGCACCGCCAGAGGCGCCGATCCAGGGGGGTTGTCCGGCGCCGATCCAGGAAATCTGCGCGGACCTCCGCAAGCCGAGGAAGCGCAAGCTTGGATCAACTCTCCCTCCTCCTCCTCCTCCTCCTCCTCCTCCTCCTCCTCCTCCTCCTCCTCCTGCTCCTCCTCTCTCTCCTCCTCCTCCTCCTCCTTCCTCCTCCTCCTCTTCCTCCTCCTCCTCCTCCTCCTCCTCCTGCTCCTCCCTCCTCCTCCTCCTCCTCCTCCTCCTCCTCCTCCTCCTCCTCCTCCTCCTCCTCCTCCTCCTCCTCTCCTCCCCCACCTCCCGTGCTCGCATGTGCCCGCCGCGCCTCTTTCGGCACACCCCTCGCACGCTTCGTCGTGGCCCCACAGAGGAAGCTCCACCAGGAGCCCCCAGTGGCTGCGCTCGCATGCGCCCACCGCACATGTTTCGGCGGCACACATCTTCCGCAGGACAGCACTGCGACGAACGTGATGATTGCTAGCACGCTTGGCGAGGCGAGTTGTGAATAATATCGCGGTCCGCTCCCATCTCCTGCTCCTCCCCCCCAAAAAAAACACCCCGCACAAGTCTCGTGTTCAGTCAGACTTGTCCCTCCACAGGAGGACTACTGAAAATAGTACAAACATTTGTTTGATTTGCTTGTTGTTTTGACGATGTAAATCCGCCTGTAGAAGGACACACCCGACATAATTCTCGTGGCAGGGAGCCCGAAGGCCCCCGTGGAAGGTGCATAGATTATAGCGGCAGGCCCCGTTGCCCTGCAGAGTATCGGCGCGCTCGGCCGCCCGAAACCAGGCTTCGCTGGCCTCGTGCCCTGGCCTCGTGCCTTGGGCGCACCTTCCCCTCCTCCTCCTCCCTCCTCCCTCCTCCTCCTCCTCCTCCTTCCTCCTCCTGCTGCTGCTCATCCTCCTCCTCCTTCTCCTCCTCCTCCTCCTCCTCCTCCTCCTCCTCCTCCTCCTCCTCCTCCTCCGCCTCCCCTCCATCCTCCTCCTCCTCCTCCCCCCCCTCCTGCTCCTCCTCCTCCTCCTCCTCCTCCTCCTCCTCCTCCTCCTCCTCCTCCTCCTCCTCCTCCTCCTCCTCCTCTTCCTCCGCCGTGATCGGTGGCGAGCGGGGGGAGGGAGCGAGAAGAAGAGGGTCTCCCCAGAAGCCTTCTTGGGAGCCCTCGCGCCTCCGCAGGGGCTTAGGAAATCGCTCAGAAGGTCAGGGGACTTCCGATCCTTCTGGGGAGGCCCGCCCTTGCTCACATCCCCCCCTCGCTAGCCGCCGATATGTTACAGTCGGGGCGCTGAAGCAGGAACTCTTTTCGTTGGGTAGGGGCTCCGTGTTCCTTAATTGCTTCACAGTTTGCCCCACGGTTTCCTTGGGTTTTCGAAGGGAAATCGAAGTTCAACTTCTGGAGAAAAGGGGCCTCGTTCCTTATTTAGGGTTCCTTAGGTCAGCGCCCCGACTGTAGCGCGTGCCAGAGATATATCACCCATGTGCCGTGCTCCCCAGATCTACAATGCCTTGTTTGTTCCACACACGGTCCCCCGAAGTCCCGACCCTCTCCCCGGGGACCAGTTCTTCCTGCCGAGCCGTTTTTCACGACCCCGGGGGTCCTGTAAGGGCCCTCAAAGGCCGAAAGCGACGAAACAGTTCTGTCGTTAAGTCGGGCACGTCCCTCCACAAGAGGAGTGTTCAGAAATTGTTGGAAAATGGTCAGGGGACGATTTTTCTAGTATTTTGTTTTTTTTGTTTGTTTTTACCTTGTTTGACTCTGTTTGATTTTTCCTCCAAAAGCTGCCTGTCGGAGGAGATGCCCGACCTGAACCTGTCGAGGTTTTCCTACACGCTGCATGTCTGGGAGCGCGACCCCCCCTGGTTTTCCAGCTCCTGGGTCGCAAAACTCGGGTCTCCGGCGCCGCGGCTGGGAGCGGTCCTGGCGCCCCCAGAACGCGCTCGGCGAGGCGCGGCTGTTGGAACGCAACCCGAGGTTGGAAAGCCGCCAAGAGTTGAGTCGGGCGTGTCCCTCTTCCGCGGTCGGCATGTATGCACCGTACCGCGTTGGCGCCTCTCGAGGCGTCGTCGATCCTCGACCCAGGAATGGTACAGTGCATAGTTTTCTGGCCCCCAGAGCCGAACAAAGTATGCACCGTACCTCGTTGGAGCGGGGCCTGAACGGAGTCCAGGCATGGTACGGTGCATGGGCGCCGTTCTCGTACCTCTACAAGGGGAATGTTCAAAAATAGTCAAAAACAGTCGGTGGACGATTTTGTTACTATTTTTGCGCATTTGGGGGGGGGGGGATTTTTCGAGTACGTTTTATTTGTCGCCCAAAATCCCCTTGTAGGGGGACGCGCCCGACTCAAGCCAAGAGCTAACGAAAACGCCCGAAAGCCTCGAGCACTCCGAACACCTCGAACGCCTCGAGCCTCGAAGGATCTTGCCATGACGCTGCATCTCTGGGTCTTTGTGGGCCCTGGAAACGGCAGGGCCGTCTTTTCACCGTTCCCAAAAAAATGTCCCTTGAAAATATTGGAAACGGCAACAAAAAGGCTCCAGGATTGGAACCGGAGCCGGAACCGGTCAAAAAACGGCGACGGAACCGGTAAAAAAACGGCGTCGGAACCGGCGAGAAAACGGCAAAACGGCCCTGTCGTTTCCAGGGCCCACTAAGGTCTGGGTCTCATGGTTCAGGGGCACCGTTACGGGGGAGGCATGGGCTCACGGGGGGGAGGGGGGGGGGGGACGCATCGACCTGCGTTGGCCCATGCATCTCCGATGCTGCGAGGGGCCCGCTATAGCCCAGCCCGCCCCAGGACCCTGCGGAGTCTCTATCGGGGGCCTGTCGCCGATCTATCGGCAACGTATCGCCGACTCCAGGTCGAGACTTCCTCCCCGTGCTAGTCCCCTGACGGTTCAGGAGGGGAAACAAACACACAGACACAAGGAATCGCCGATTCCTCGGAAAAATATATGGGAAAATATGGGAAGTGGGGGGGGAGTCAAAAACCCAGAAAATATGAGAAAATATGGGGAATCATTTGATTTGTGAGTATTTATTTGTGTGTCCCAGGGCCCCTTCAACGGTTCTCGGCTCATGACTCCGACCTGCAACGGCCGCTCGAGACGATCCGGGCGCCCCCCGAGCGCTCTCGGCGAGGCGCGGCTGTTGGAGCGCAGCCCGAGGCCGGAGAGCCGGCGAGAGCCGGCGAACACGCCCGAAGGCCTCGAAGAAATCTCAAGCTCCTCCTCGAGCTTCGAACGACTCTGCCCCAGACGCTGCACGCCTGGGTCTCTTCAGGGGCAGCGTGACCAGCGCAGACGCCCGAAGGCCTCGAAGAAATCTCAAGCTCCGCGAGCTTCGAACGACTCTGCCCCAGACGCTGCATGCCTGGGTCTCTTTTCGGGGGCAGCGCTTGGGGTGGGATAGGGGTCGCGAGGGGGGGGCGCAGCGACCCGCAATCGCCCAGTCATCGCCGACAAGGGGCCCGCTCGCTGGCCCACCCCCCACCCAGGGCCGTGCGGCGTCTCCATCGGGGGCCCTGCCGCCGATGCAGTGGCCGTGTATCGCCGATGCCAGGTCAGTGCTTCTCTTTCTGGCATCGCTCGGGCATGTGCACTTTTTTCTCGGCGAGAGCCATCGAGGACCATCCTGGACCATCGAGCCAAAAAACACACCAGTTGATTGGCGGCGTGTACCGGTTTGAAAGCATATCCTAGACCGCCGATTCAGTGGCAGTAACCGCATGCCGATGATAATAAAGGGACCCCCCCCCTTTAGTGTTTAGAGTTGATTATCGCCGCCCTATACAAAATTCAAATTGGGCGGCGAGCGCTGAGGCCGAACTTCATTATCACCTCGAAACGCTATGTTGAGATAGCAACATCAAGCGATGTTGATATAGCAACATCAAGCGAAGCGATCACACTTTTTCAGGATGTGTCAAGCGAAACCAATAATTTTGGGAGGCAGACTCAAACGAAACGAGCAATGTTCTTATTATTATTATACTTTCCTCTTCTTCTTTTATATTTCTATCTGTCCTCACGCTCGCCTGAACTTTTTTTATCCCTGGGGTTGATTATCCATGGAAAATGAAGCACATGAGCTACCCTACACGAGCACTTTTTTTTTTTAAAAAAAAAAAAAAAAAAAAAAAAAAAAAAAAAAAAAAAAAAAAAAAAAAAAAAAAAAAAAAAAAAAAAAAAAAAAAAAAAAAAAATGTCATAAAGCGTTTGTAAATTAAAATTGATAGGTTTGGAACTTTGGATGTTTCCTTTATTCGTCCTCTTCTTATTCTCCTCTTCTTCTTCTTTCTTATTATTATTCTACTGTATTCTTCTTCTTTTATATTTCTCTCTGTCCCCACGCTCGCCTGAACTTTTTTATCTCTGGGGTTGATTATCCATGGAAATTGAGGCACATGAGCTACCCTACACGAGCACTTACAAAAAACAATGTTCATGAGAGATAAGCCATTGTTGAGGATATTTCTATGAAAACTAAACGCCAAGGATGTCTCAAAACGTGCTCGGCTTGGTCTCCTCTTGATTATCTCTTACTTCGAGATTATGCTGAGGTCTGCTGGGCTACTTTTACTATCTCTCCCTGAACCCCGAACTTTATTATCCCCTAGTGTTTATTCTCACGGGCATGAGGTTATTTACCAGTTTGAATCATAGCCCTATCCCTATGTTTGGCAGCACCTCACCTCGATGCCGATCTTGAGGATTCCCTCGGTTTCTGAGGGCCTGTCCCTGAGATTGTCCTCGCTTTCTGCTCGCCCATCTTAGGGATAGGGGTAGGTTCGAGGCTGGTTAAATGTATCGCCGAGTCCAGGTCAATGTTTCCCCCCGAGCTGGTCCTCCAGCGGTTTTCGGGCCATAGCTCTGGCATCCAGCGGCCGTTCTGAACGATTTGGGCGCAGAAAATGTCGAAAGCCTCGAGCAACTCGAACCTCGACCGATTTCTCCAAGACGTTGCTTGTCTTCGGAAGGGGAATCCTGACACGATTTCAAACAGCGCTGATTCGCATGAAAACGCAAGAACTGTTGGCATTTGAGGGGAAGAGGGGAAACCGGGTAATTCGTAGAAAGAGTGGACCTCCGGGGATTTGTGTAGCTTTGTTTGTGTCCCATGGACCCTCTAAATGTCTTGGTTCTCTCTCACCACCCACCAAACCACCCCAACCCAACCCGAAGGCTCAGATTTACCCTCGATTTCTAGTGGGGGGGG